AGCATTTCCTTTGATTCTTCACATATTCTGCAAAAAGAATATCAACAGATGCATTCAAAAAAATGTTTTAAAGGTTTTGGGCAAGTTCAATCAGTGGTTTATGCACAAATGTGAAGGGGTAATTATATGGACTTAGTGAAATTGTGAGTGAGTAAATTTACAAGGTTCTGTACTGATTCCTGTGCGAGTAGTATGAAATTAATATATATGGATTGATGCCTGTTGTGTAATGTTATTTATTTTTAATGGAATATGTACCTGTACTGTTTGTATGTTTTGTAAGTTTCTGTGTGGGTTTCTTTGTTGAAAAATCATTTGAATTTCTGAGAAATCGGTTGAATACCTTGCCTTATTTCTTATCTCTCAAACCCTGATCAAAATGTTTCCTAAGTTCTTTATTGAGAATGTTTTTACTTTTGTATTTACTGTACTTTCCTGCCAAAAGAAACATTTATCTGTATGTTTAATAATAAATTTGTTATTATTAAAGAAGATTTTTTAACTGTAGCCAGAAAATAAGGAAATGAGAAAAACTAATTGTAAAAATGTGTTGTTTGCTTCTTACAATTTAACAAGACTTCTACTGTCATTGTCATAGCTGTTGCTACTACAAAAAATAACAGTAACATTTTTATGTCTTTGTTATCATAAGGCACAAGCAGAATTCTCACTAGAATGTTTAGATTCATTATTTGAATCATTACAAAACACCTTTTCCACTAAGAATAACCTCCAGTAAAGTCCCCAGCTAAAAGTTTTTTTTTCAACTAACAGTTGCTGGTTGCTGATGTTTGCAAAAATTATTTTTGCTTTATAAAATGTTCTAAACTGAAAACAGAAAACCCTTTATATTAAACATACAGTACAGCCAGTGAACAAAGAAGGAGGTGAGAGGAAAGGACAGTATGTCCAGATTCCAAATTCCCAAGATAAGATAAAACTGTGGTTGCTAAGTGATGAGCCATAGCCTCTTCCTGTGTCCTCAGGGCTCCCCAGCAACCAGTCCAATCCATCTCCATTACCCACAGCACAGATGGGACCCTTTAACTGGCCAGCTTCTGCACCAACTATTAGAAAATGTATAAATAAATCAGTAATGAGCCAAAAGAAATCAGATGCTCTTATTGTTCAAAATGTTAAGTGAAGTTGTATCCCACACATCTAGTATAAATTGTATTTCCTCTCATTTGGAACAAAATACAATCAATATGAAAACAGCAATGCATATACATGTATATACAATAAATCTATAAGGGGTATATTCTTCTTAAGTCCTCCACTGCTTTCCCTCCAGCTGACACCCACACAAGATATAGTCCTTGTTTTACTTTAAAATGAAAAAAAAAAAACATACACAAACAAAATAAAATACTGCAGACAGTACAAATTATAGTCAGACAAAATTATCATTACTATGCAAAGAACGTAACGCACACACTTCCAGATGTAATTTAGGTGGAGACTGACAGAAAGAAAATTCATATTTTATCAAGGGAAACATAAAACGGTGTAGAGCCCCCTGCCGTAACCATGAAACTGACTTTACGAGGAATAACGACACCCAGTCAGAACATGTGTTCTGAATGTTGATTGAGAAAGTTAAGCAGAAAAAGTTATGGCTTAACCTACTTGCTGGCCAACCACTGGGCTTTCAGGACTCGACACAGAGTGAAATTTCCCAAAATAACGATAAAGCTGTAAAGGTAAAGATGGGGTCGGGGGAGGTAAGCAAAAGGAAGAAAATGAGAGGAAGAGAGGAGCTTGCTGTGATTTTTATAGTATTTTGATAAGTGGCCTCATGGAGGATGACAATTAAGAGTAGCAGAGATGAAGGGTATCATTTGGTTGTCATCACTCGTCACGAACTTGTTACAAACTCCATCTTATAACTTTTAATTCTTTTATTGAATATTGCATTTCATGTATTTTTAATACAACTACACATAACCAAAATACAAAAATGTGGCTAAATATATTTCTGTCATTTTACCTTTGCTATAGTACGTCCATTTACTCCCTAATGCCCTTTAATTTTATGAAGGCAGAGGGCAAGGAAAAGCCGAAATCTACTGATGTTCACAACGTTTAGCAGTATAAAATATTTATTGATGAATCATGCTGTGCCCTGCAGATCAAGACGCCAGCTACCCAGGGTGTCAAGCTGAACACACAGCAGAAATCTGTTTATCAGAAATGGAAATTTAACAAAAGAGCTCTTTAAACGGAAAGATAAAACCCAGAGAAGGTCAATAAGCAAAACAGACTTTTTAAAAATGATCATGGTGGTGATTTCTTTTAAAGGCTTATCTTTCTGCTTTGAATTCACTTGTATTAATTAAAGCATCCTGTCATTTCGACAGACACCATGCCTACATACAATACAATGCATACAATGCTCCTGTCACCTTCAGGTTTCTTTTTTCTCCAGGTGGTTGCTTTTCTTTTCACATAAACTGGTGTAGGGATACCCATAGAGCAAATAATGGAAAATAACCATTTGCAATTGCAGAACAAAGTTTAGGGTGGGCCAGAAGCTTTCTGATTGGAAACAAAATGAAATTTCTAATATAAATGGTGGTGTCATTGCTCGGACATATTGTGCAGACTGCATATTTTAGATTTGAAAAATGGAAGGTCTTAAAAAGACATTTTGCATTCTGCATTCTGAATAGGTGAAATACATAGAGATGTATAGTTTAAATCAACAAATATAACAGATCAAAAATGCTTCAGATTCCTAATGTGGCAATACAAAACAGACAAAATATTCTGGTGTTAAGGTGTTTGATTGACAGTGTCATCTCTCCAGCACTGCTCACATGCAATTTAAAATTGAACAGTGAAATTTGACATGCAAAATAAATCATTATTCTTGTCTTTGATAACACACAACCTAAACATTTATCAATCAGCTATTAACAACTAGTCGATTAATAACATATGATTCACAACTGTCCCTTTTAACACTTTTTTGCAATGCTTGTCATATCAAAGCAACATTGCAGAGTAGAGCACTGACTATAGACGATTTTGTCTCTCTTCCTTTTGCGCTGCAGGATCAGTCAATTAAGCATGTTGAACAAAATTATTGATCCTAATAGAATAGATTAACCTTAGCCTTGGAAAGTTGTTACAAACTATTGATTGTGCTTGTTCCTTCCTGTGTCAGTTCAATTGGATTAAATTAAAACTGCAATTATACTATTTTTTATACTATAAAATTGGAAAAATGTAGTGTCTGCATTGCTATCACTGAACTATTGCACAGAATCACAAATTATAAAGGAGTAAAAAGGAAACTGGAAGATGTCTGGCAATCAAATAAAAACAAATGAACAATTCCAATCCATTTATTGTTAATACAGTCAACAGTACATTTATATTTCAAGTAGAGGAGAATACATTTTATATAGATCATATAACCTATAATACTGCAATTCTACACGTATCCAACAATTCTTTCATACCTAAAACCTACTTCATTAATTTCATCCATCTACCCATTTCTGATCACTTCTTCAAGTTCAGGCTTGCAGTGGAGCCAGAGCTTACTCAGCAACCAACAGGCATAGGGCAGGATACACTCTAGACGGGACACCGTCCACTGCAAGCACACACTCATACCATGGCCAAGTTTCCCAGAAGCTTATTAACCTACCAGTATGAACCAGAGCACCCAGAGGAAACCCACATAAACACATGGAGAACATGACAACAAACTCTGTATCGTTTGTACCCCAGTTCTGCAACAGAGCCCAGGGTCCCAGTGCTGCAAAGCAGCAATGCTAAGCAATATTAGCCACTGTGCCACCTAGTTCCTTTATAATATACCTATTTATTTTAATAGAACAACATAACAAGAAAAGTGATACAACCTAGAATGAAAATGATATAAGCCTATGTTTTATAAGAGCAAAAACATACAAGGTACAGACACTCAAAAGTGTTTCTCTTAATTAACAGTCTTTATTGTTTCCTTTTACTGTAAAGCAAAATAAATGTCAAACTGGAAAAGAAAAGCCATTTCCCAACCTACATTTCTTTTGTACTGAAATATTTGTTGTACAACTTTACTAGATTGCAGTGACTTTAGGTTACATAAGAGACCTTATGTCCCTCAGGAAACAGAGGTTAGCTGCTCAATTTCTTCATGTGCAATGTTTTATTTACTGCGTCATTTTGCATTACTCCTTTGGCTTCTGTATTCCTTTCTTCTTTTTACCTTTTTGGATAATTTAAAATAGAGCTCTGAATAAATACATCTTAATCTTTCACAGAGTCATAAATATTAATCAGGTGTTTGTTTGCTCTCGGTCTACTGCTTAAGTGCATCTCTTCTCCTGGAGCTGTGCAGCCACACCCTGAATATTAAAGAACATTAACATTTGAAGTTTAATCAACACTTACCTATTTCCACGTTGTGTGTGCATATAGGCAAACAGAAGCTGGATTGTATTGGGATGGATTCTGAACTTATTCTTTCACCCTGTATTTTGTCTTTCTAACAGCATATGATACAGCTGCATGTTTGCTATTTAGGGCCTACAAACCTGCAAGTCCCTTTATTCAGTGATGCTAAACCATCAGATTTTTGGGGGAATATTGACACTCTGGATTAAAATGAAATGACTTGTAACAGAGTTTTATACAGCATCAGTTGCTACCTGCATACAACACAATATATAGTGTATTTGTTTACCCTGTTTAATTTGCAGCTTCAATTATTGCTGAAAACACTTTTTCCTATGATTCTTACACTTGGGTTTAAGTGAATAATGTCTATTCTAGCACTCTAGCCCTAATTTTTAAATATAAATCATGGTATTTAACGATACTAGGTTAACAATTCGTTTCTAATCTATTGCCTGGTAAAAAAAAAAATCATGCTGGAGAAACTTTCGATTCAACGAGTGCTTTGTGACTTTGTTACCTGCTCCGTAAAAAAAGACATTTATTATTTGGGCGTCTTGTCTGAGCAGACATAACAGGTGACATTTCTGTGCGCGTCTCGTCTCGAAATGTACTGTAGATTTCACCTGTGATATTTTTTGTTGCATGAATTATGCTATCCCTATACAGTACGTCTATAAACACGGCCGTGACGGCACATGACCACCTTTCAACAGTATTACGGATCACGCTTTTGTAATTTGGAGAACAGAAGATTGCCGTGAGCGATCCACTGAAACACACGGAGACAGAGCAACCTCTCTGTGCGGCGCTTCAGATCAATGCATGTTTTTTACTTCAAAGAAGCCTGAAGATTGAAATAGGAGAACAGCGAAGAGATAACTATAGATGCTGAAATATAAGATTATCTTTAAAGCGCTTCACTGCGGGGATGTGAAAAACACGATTTTTTATTCAAAGGGCTGAATCCCTTAATTTGCAGTTTAATGACCGATGGCAATTGGTCTCCAAAGGAAACGAGATTTCAGGAGGTGTATTTAGGTTTAGCCGCAACAGATCAAACCATTGCTATTTGTTTTATCTGGTTTCTTAACCATGACCCGCACCGGAACTGAGAATTTGAAGAAAAGCTTTCTTTATTGAGTTTGTGATGTCAAACTGAGGGACATAAACGCATCTGAACCGCATGGGGATATTCTACCTTTCCTCAGGTATGTGTGTGTTTATGCAGTATGCTCTAGTGTAGTTTACACGTAAAATTCTGCTGTTTGTGAGAATGTTACAGTGAGTTAGTTTTAAGGTTTGGTTGATATTTTAAATATCACGGCTTTAGATCGTGCTGTTTGCTACCTTATACACCTTGTGAGGCACTTCAGCTTTGCTTATCTTTACTGTAAATGTTCTGTTACTTGTTTCTGCTGTGGCAACAATGTAATTCCTCGGTCATGCCAATAAAGCTCTTTGAATTTGAAATGTGTTTTACTTTAGCCCGATAGATATGAAAAGCAGTGGATGTCTCTAGATTTCGAATGTGAAGTTCACCTGACGAAGGTTTTCTACGAATTGCGTATTTAACCTAGCTAATTTGTCTTTCGAATTCGTTGGAGGTTTTCAATGTATTTCACTTTCAGTTATGCGAAGACTGAAATGATTTGCATACATATTTATTTGCATGCACATGTTATGTTTATATAATTCATTATTGTTTTATTGTTGTTAGTGCTGTTTATTCAGATGAGATTGTTTCCTCCTTGGTTAATATTGCATTTCTGTGGCTATATACACTGTAGCATACTGTATTAAGGATAATGTACAAAAATTATATGCAAAGTAATATACATATATACATTTATACTGTATATATTGGTGAAGGGTAGGCCCAAAATGAACAGCAGCACTATTCCTGTATTAGATTGATGGGAAAGCACAGCTGTTGACATTTTTTTCTGAATCTATTGAAAGAGGCAGAGTGCTCCTAAATGATTTCTAGTGCCTTTAATAGATATTCTTGCAAAATTACTTTACAATCAGCACTTGAACTCAGGGGAGAACAAAAAAGCACTTTACATTCCTCTGCTTTGGCAGGTTCCTCCAACTTCATGAAAAATTATACTTCCAAATGGCTGTAGAGCTCTGGCATTCTGAGATTATAACCACTGTGCACCCTGAGAAATGAAGAGACGGACTTGTATACTGTATAACCAGCTGTGGTTCCAAAACTCATGTCCACAAATACTGTAAAGTAAACAGAAAGAGAAACATGGGAAATGGAAGCGGCTTTTTAGTATTTTACACAAGTAATGTGTAATGAAATTACAGCTCACACCTACATAAGTCAAATGAAAATGTAGTTAATTAAACAAATGCTAAATCTGATAAAGTTTATCATTTCTAAAGGGGTATTTCTGCACGTCCTGCTGCATTGTACTGTTCAATGTGATTTTCAGCCAAACATGCAACAAGCTGAAATGATGATTCTCATGGTACAAATCAGTCAAGTACAAGTGTATTGTTGTCATCTTTGAGCTGAAATTAGGTTTATGCTGTTGTTTTTTATTGAATATTGAAGGCTTGGTGAATGTAAAGGTATTCCAACATATGAGTGTACTTCAACTAAACAACATGCTGAAAACTATCCAAGAACATGCTAATGAGTGCTACACAAATCCAGAATTCAGCTGATATATGTATTTTCCCCATTGTGCTTGAACTGAAATGTCACATGAACTCCAGAGCTGTCAGAGGTAGAACTGGAAACACTCTGATTACAGTAAAACAAAGCTGGCAGGAGCACAAAATGTAATTAGTGAGGTTTTTTTCGTGTTTGCTTTTTTTTTCCAGCTCTCCTTCTCCATGTCCCCTTAGTCACTGGAAGCTCAAGTGGAATTGAAGTTGGCAGGAACTACTCTAAAGCCTGTAAGTAATCCTTGTGGTTTCTGTGATGCCTAACGTGAGTTAATGCACCACTGCTTTGAAAATGCAAGGGATCCTGCTGCATCTCTGTTAGCTCTTGTGTTTCTTATTTTACACCAAATTAAAGAAATTCAAGAGCAGGAAGAGTCACGCTTAAATTGCTGTAAGCAGCTGGGGCTTCAGCCATTGGTGTCTGCAATGAAAAAAAAAGGGACCGATCAGATTGACTGCAAATTCTTGTTACCCACATGGTCTTTTAATATTAAAATACATTTTAATATTTTATTATAATTTATATTTATTATATATAATAATATTAAGCACATCTGTATGATAATTTTAACACAATCAAAAATAGTGAATTACATGCCTACAAGTAATACCTTTAATTCTACATGCCATAAAGCACACATGACGTTCAAAGCACACAGCATTCATCTGTAATATTTCTCAGAGCCTATAGCCAAATACTGTAAAAGCACATGGATACAGAACTGTATGGGTAGCTGATGTGCTGCAAACCATTCTTGGGTCTTGGAACAATGGGGCTGCTGTCATTTTGATCCTTATTTTTCTCTCAGATGAGGAAATCACTCTTCTCTGCCAAAAGGAGGAGCTCAGGTTTGGAAACTGCCTTGTTAACTGGCTGAGATGTTACTATAAGAAGGACTGTGGCAGGGAGTACATGTTGATGAAATTGATCTGCTCAGGTAAGAGGAACTGCAATACCACTCTAGTCACCTAATAAAATGTAATCACTCAAAATTAGCGTTTTATCTGGTCAGCTTTCATTCACCTCTACTTTTGCTTTTCAGCATTATGATAACTTTCTGACTAATCTGCTGTGACAGTACTTCCCTTGTTAGCATAAAATGACTGGTGCACCTCAGTTACTTAGAATCCAGGAATATAAGGTTTTCCTTCATCTAAACATTAGCAAGGGAAGTTTTTTGCCTCAGAGCAGAATTTATTTTTATTCCTGAAAGTTGTTACAAATGTATAAAGCTCCATCGAATGAACAGAGAATATGTGTGGAAAATATAAATGAAATAGATTTTTTCACTAAAACTTTTTAAAGGGATTTTAAATAGGCAATATACATAAAGACAGTGGCACAAGCTTTGCACTGTACTGTATGTTGTTTTGCAGGTTTATTTAGAGCTTTAATTATTTACCTGTAATTTCTCATGTTTTTGTGATCTACTGTAGTTTTCCTGGAAAAGTCTCACATTTTCAACTATAGACTTTCTGTAGAAATACAGCAGAGGCACACTGGTGTTACTTCTTTAAAACACATTGCTAAGTCGTTCTGTGTGTGAACTTAATGAAGTGATAATGTTCATTGATGTTTCATAGTTTTTTGTCTGCCATGTATTTAATGGTGAAATTCTCACTGTTACATTCTCCGTCAGATATTAAAAAAAAAAATTCAGCCACAGTAGAAGCAGAATTAGTTCTTGTAAATTTTTTACCTGTCAGGTTGGGTGCTGAGAGATTTTAGGGGTATGAAATTATATTGAGGTTATCTTATGTTCTTATCAGGTTCTTTGAAACAATTTCACAGGATAAAACAAAATGGAGACCCTTCTTGTTCATTTATGTGCTGTTTAAACAATTAAATAGTAATCTAACCAAAGAAATTGAGTATAACAATAATGTATAAAATTAAAATACAATGCACATTTTATTAATTTATTTTCAATATTGTGACAAAAAGGATAGGAGATGTGTAATATCTAATTTTTGTTAAATTGGCTTTAAGAATGGATCTTTGATTTATAATGTGTAGGAAAAAATATGTACATTTTTAGAACTTTTCCTTTTTAAATGCATTAAGCAAATTAAATAATAGTTAATCATCATATAATCTGATTGAAACTGTAGTCTTTAATGACATTTCACTGTTATTGTAGGCAATAAAATGGCTGTGTAGCAAGTTTGCATTGCTTCTTTTGATAAGTGAAGAATGACATTTAAAGGCCAGTTTTTGATAGGTAACTTGTTTCTTACGATTTTGAACTTGAATTGCATTGTTGATCAATTGACAGTTGGCCACTGTATATGTTTGGTTCCCTGTCATTGAACATATTTTTAATAACATAAATGATTTAATACAAGTAAGTCTTTTATGAGGAATGTGACACATTCAAGGGTGAGTATGAGTATAGTTGAATAAAATGAATAGTTATACAATTAATGGAAAGACGTCAAAGAGTTTTCATCAACAGCTGTAAGAGTGATTCACCCACACTTGTCATTTCTGTGATTTAGCCTACAGTGAGTTTTGCCACTTGTTCAATCAGTGACTAGTTAATTTAAAAACTTTTTAATGTCAGTACATTGATAGATTGCAGCTGACATGAATTTTCATTTAAGTCTATAAAGAAGACACAAAGATTTACTTATGCAACACTTCCATCATTAAAATCTGTTTCATTTGCTCAGTGATTGTAGCTCTTTCAAACACCTCACTGAGATTAACCTTTCCTCAGGCTACAGTGTTTATGTGCCTACTGCTGATTTATCCTGACCTTTCAGTCAATTGTTAGCAGTAGGAGACAAGTCAGCACTGTTGTATCCTTGAGTGACAGATTTGCAAACGTCAGATTGACCTACAGTAGCTCTAAATCTGTACTCTCTCGTATATTGTAGAGAGAAGTTTGCAGTTAGCAAAGAAAAAAATGAAAATATTTTCTGTATATGGAAAACAAAATTAAGGACAGTTATGTGCATCTAAGTGTTCATTGCTAATGCTACTGTGTTTAACATTAAATTTCACTGTATCATTAGACACTGTAAAGTGAAGTGAAAGTTACAGTTTCTGTTGAAATATAGTAATGTTCCTCTTTTTAAGAAGCAAAGAAAGTGTCTTATATAGTCCTTTCTGGAAGTCTCCCACTGTACTTAAGAAGATGGTTATATATTGTATTTGTGGATTGTGACCTGTTTCTGTCCCTTTGGGAAAAAGAACTATAATATAAAAATGAAAATATTTCTCAGTGGGTTTAATATGCAGCTCTTAGCTCTGATGGCAGAGCAGATGATTCCTTTATGGGGAAATTTAATCTTATCAGTCCAAATGATCAATAATAAATTTGTTTTAATTGAAGCAGGAACCCCATTCACAGAGATGCCTTTTACAGCATATCTGTCATTTGATTGATCACTTGGAAATGGGTCTGTTTTGATCCTGCTGTCTTGAAATTCTAATGTGTTTTATAGCTGACGTTGAAAAGCAGATGACGATGGCTTTAATACAGTCAAACCAAATGCAATGTAATAACAAGGAAGAAAATATAAGCAAGGGAATTATGATAAGACAAACCTCCATTAGGAGTACTGAGCCCAGTGCCTGGTGGTTCTAATTCACTATGCTTGTCAGAGGTATTTCGGAAACTTGTTTATCTAAATCTCTGCCTCCGCTCTAATCTATAATTCATAACTCATCTAACTCATTTTCCAAATGTCACCGTAACCCCAGGCTGTGGCTGGTTTGACTGGACATTTGATTTCAGGTTCTCTTGTTTGGGGGAAGAAAAGAAAAGGACAGGATCATTGTCAATTCCAGGGTGTTTACTCCTAGCAAATAGCATGTGTCACAATTCATCACTGCTGGAGCTACAGTGTTCTTGTCATTTCCAAATGTACAACAGACCTTAGTACTATACAAGATGGCAGGCATGACCAAACTTCTACAAAAAAAGGTTTTGCCATCTTAACATTTTAACAGAATAATATAGAGAAAACTTTGTGGGAAAAGTCTAATTTGTATTTTACTCACAGTATTCCAGCAGGAGTTTACATTGTTTAAGGACACATCTGTTGGAAAAAAAGGACCCTTCTCCTGTTTATTTTCCACTTTTTATTGCAGCTTCTTACTGTGGTGTTCTTGGTATTTGTATTGTAGGCAAAGAATTGATTGAATTAGAAAAAGATTTTAAATTATCTCAAATCGACCTTGTTCATCATATGCAATTCCTTGCTTACTGATATCAGTGTACTGTAAATGTGGTTTTAACTTTGCTTCAGTATTGAACTGGACAGCACATCAGCACTGAGATGCAGCACATAGCCCAGTGTTCCAAAGTGTAACAATAATTGAACCAGGTCCATAACTAAAAAATAATCCACAGTCTCGTATAATTGCTTTGATTGCTTGAGCACATAACATGGGAGCTGCATTCAAACAGGGTTATTAAGGGTTGAATAAGATCCAGGGTGTTATAATCCAGTGCACTATAACTGTTTTTCTATGTACTAAAAAGCAACAGATACCACTGATTCAGATGCTTACACAGATATTTTGTGCTTTTAAAGCCATTCAACACCATTTGAAACAATTTTAAAGCTCACATGCAGCATATGCTGACAGTTTATTAATTGGCTTGTGCATGAATAGCACTCCAGGTTAGTGGTGACCTTTCCCCAGTTGCCCTTCAAGGTGCAGTGTGTCTTGCCTGACAGAGGCATCAGCTAGTGAGACCTTTCTATTAGTCATAGTCTTCTGAATCTTGTCCTGGCCTCCCAGAGGCATACCTGCTGAGCCACTGCCAGTGTGGAACTCATTTGTGTGAGATACACTCCAGTGGTGCTGAGACTGAATCCCATCAGAGCCTTTCTTCTAAATGCAACTGTTTGAACTCTAGGGATCAGATTTCATCTCTGTCTTGAACAGAGTATGCTTGTCTGTTGTGTCTGCCTGTCTCTGTGTATAGAGAGAAAGAGACTGTGTGTACCACTGTCTTTTTCTTGGAGGAATGTGTGAGTTTCTGGTGCAGTAGTATAGCATATAATAAAATAATGGTCATATATGTTTGGCATTGGATGGCCCCTTCAGACTTCCATTTTATTGGTCCTCACTTACTCATTATAAAGTAGGGGAGAGATTTGTTTATCTTCAAACTACAAACAAAAATCCTTTGTTAAAAGAAATATCTTCAAATTGATAATAGCTACATTTCACAAATATTCAAAAGAACATTACAGTTAAAGTTAAAATCAAGATTAAGCGCTAAGGAGAAATAGTTATATACTGTACAGATTATTTTTGTCTTTTTGACACTTTGAAGGTGAAATTTCTCCAGCCTTCAACACTGCCAACAGCAGCAGGAGTTATTTAATATAATCAACACCAACATCTGTTTCTCAGGTATAGATGACTTATTACATGTAGACTGCATGTGCATATTATGTGTATTACATGATTGTATGTAGGCTGTAAAGAGAAAGTTTGTCCAATTTCGAATTACTGTACATCTTCAAGAGCAAGACAAAACAGTGTTATTTTTAACTAATGATGAAGAAAATATTGCAGCAAGCAGTTGACACTGCTCCTATGATGAAGCAAAGATAGAACAATGTTATTTCTAGATGTGTTTAACAAATGGTGGCACATTTTGTAACATTAAAGGCAAAGCATTGCCAAAGTTGACATACATTAGTATAATTTTTCTACATCATTAATTTAATGTGAAATACCTGGTTATTATATACATATTCTTTTAAATAAATATACTTTATCAATAATTACCATGAAATATTGATAATTCCAAATTCAGTTTAAGAATATGTTTTACTTCACAAATGCATGAAATGAATTTCAGCTACTTTAAAGAAGTATTTTTGTCATTCTTATAAATATATGATCCCAGTCTTTGTGCCCATATAATAACACAATTCACATTTTGAAAATATTGCTGGACTGCAAGGA